CTTATCACAACTTAGTTCAAATATAGAAAGCTAGAGAAATGACCAGAGAGAATGTTACTTTTTAGGAGATGTGAATATTAATTTTGGCTTTCTTTGGATAGAAGAGTTATAAATGACCTTCCCTCAACTCACTATGTAGTGATGGGTATCCTGATATTCCTATGTGGACCAGGCTGACTTGACTTTGTTGTTCTGCTGCAGCCTCCTGGGTGTTAGGACACTGATGTGTGTGACCATTCCCAGATTCCCCTCCCCCCAATAAAACACTTTTTCTTTTTTCTTTTCTTTCTTTTTTTTTTTTTTAAGACAGGGCTTTATGAAGCTTGAGTTAGCCTTAAGCTCACTAGCTACTTAGCTGAGGATAGCTTTGAACTTCTGATTTTCCTGCCTCTACTTCCCAAGTGCTGGGATTACAGGTATGCATTGCCGTGCCCAGGCTTTTCTCTATATCTCTCAAATTTTCTTAGATAAGCATTTAATTTTTTAGGGGAGAGACAGTATTCCTCGTTGGCCTGGAACTTGTTATGTAGACTAGACTGACCCTGGACTCCCAAGTGCTGAGATTAAAGGCATGTGGCTCCACTTTTGACTCAAATTTAATTGAAAAAAAAAATAGATGAAATTCATAAGGAAAGGGAGAGAAATGACCAGAGACTCTAGGTGTTCCAGGGATTTCTCCAGCATACTCTTGGGCCCCTGGTGGCTCAATGGGCACCTCCAGGTGGTAAGCAATTGATGTGGATAGGAATTCTAGTATTATCACTTACCCTGCTGTATAAAAGTGACTCATTCACAAGCAAGTCACTTCTTGTTTGTTCTCTTAGGCCTTTAATCTGTAAATTAGTAAATGTAAATTTTTATAGGACAACAAGAGGATTAAGAGGCAGAACCAAGAAAGGCCAGGAACAAATTGTCAGACCTTAGAAAAAAAACAGGTTCCCTTCCCACACTCTAGACCTGGAGCTGAGCACCTGGTCACTCCCAGGGAGCACAGACTCTGATGTAGAGTGGCGGTCTCCTGAGCCATGGCGCCAATCCTGTCAGTGCCGAAGTCACACTGGCACCTATGGAAACACAGGGAGCACTATGAGAAGATTTTTTTTTAAATGGGCACAGGAAGATTGTCTTTCTCACTGACTCATGGGTCAAGGGTCAGTCCTCTTCTGAAAGTTCTGCTGAACCATCTGCGTGCTCCAGCGGAGCCTCTGCTGGATGTAGTACCACAGTCAGTGACCTTACAAACAAAGCTGGCTCCTCTCTGACTACAATGCCATAACTGTATTAAAGTACATGCTCATGGGAATGTGTCTAAGTCTGTCTCATCTTCCATCTAACTTACTTCAGTGTTTGCAGATTCTTTTCAGGTTCTTTGAGCCATGACAATTCAGGGAGTTGTTTGGGAGCCTGAAGGGGTCTACTTGGGCTCCAGGCACCAAGGCGTGCTCCAAAACTGGGAGAGAGGTACATGGATTGAACCCTAGAAGGGGCTCTTCAATTATAACCCCCTGCAGGGATCCAGGTGCCAACATCCATGGTCATTGTTACCTCATCCAGTGCTCATCAAGGTCTCAAGTAGGGATGGATCCTGTGTGCCAAACTCTGAAAGTTGAAATCCCCAAAGATCAAATTTTCTGAAATGACAATCCTACGTATATGTAATCCTAGGACCTGGGAAGTAAAGGCAGGAAGATGACCAGTTCAAAGCCAACCTGACCCTGTCTCAAAACCAACTGCTGGTAGTGTACACCTCTAATGGCAGCACTAGAGGCAGAGGCAGGCAGACCTCTGAGTTCCAGGCCAGTCTGGTCCACAGAGTGAGTTCCAGGTCAGTCAGGCTAAATAGTGAGACTCAAAATAAAAACAAACAACAAAAAGGAGAGGGGGGAGAGGTTAGAATCCCAGACATTGACATTCTGAAAGTCAAGTCAAAACAATTCCTGATGAAAAAGAGAGCTATATGGGAAGTGAAGAAAGCTGGATTCTGAGACTGGACTTGTATTCTCCGTTATATACAAGACAATTGTCAAGCTAGTTACTTTCTTACTACTTTCTCGAAATACCATGCTACCTTCCAAATATTGGCCCTTAGCTGCTTGAGGTGACACACAATCTCAGCATTCAGGAGGCTAAGGCAGGAGGATGGTGAGTTTTCGGATCAGCTTCAAGAGACCTTCTGGGCTGGAGAGATGGCTCAGAGGTTAAGAGCACTGACTGCTCTTCCAGAGGTCCTGAGTTCAATTCCCAGTAACCACATGGTGGCTCACAACCATCAGTAATGAGATCTGGTGCCCTCTTCTGGTGTTCATGTATACATGGAAGCCGAATGTTGTATACATAATAAATAAATAAATAAATAAATAAATAAATAAATAAATAAACATGCTGCTTCTAAGAGAATAAGAATTGGTCGGTGGTAACACACATCTTTAGTCCCAGCACTTGGGAGGCAGAGGCAGGTGGATCGTTTGTGAGTTCAAGTCCAGCCTGGTCTATAGAGCTAGTTCCAGGACAACCAGGGCTACACAGAGAAACTCTATCTTGAAAAACTAAAAGAGAGAGAGATTAAGAAGAATTTGATACTCCTGCCCCCACCCCCACCCCCGCCCCCGCCCCCGGGGGCAGCTGACACAGGGCTTCCTTTGCACATGACTCACTAAATGGTGAACTGCTCTCAGTCATGAATTTGACTGTCAAAGCAGGAAGGCCTCTTACATTTCCCAACAAATTTACATAGAAGAACTAGCTCTTGCTTCACTTTAGCCAGAATTGTTCCCACTGTTTTTTATATCAAATATAAACAATTCATGCATGTTCCATGGATCTGAAATTTATTTACATTCAATTATGTATTAATGACTATATCAAATCACTTTATAAATTCAAGTTTGAAGATTTGGTGATTTTTTTGTTTGTTTGTTTGTTTGTTTGTTTTGTTTTTTGAGACAGGGTTTCTCTGTAAGCTTTGGAGCCTGTCCCGGAACTCACTCTGTAGACCAGGCTGTCCTCAAGCTCACAGAGATCCTCCTGCCTCAGTGAGCCTCCCAGTGCTGGCATCGAAGACATGAGCCACCACTGCTGGGCCTGGCTTGGTGAATTTTGTAGAAAAAAAGAAAGGGAGCATTTCAAATGAATCTCTAAACCATAATGAATGATTTGGGATTAGGTATGAGCAAGCATTTGGTAAATGGGTTTCGAGGTATTATCAATAAAGTTTATTTCTGTCCCATTCAACCCAATGCATTTGGTGGAGAGTCAGATGGTTGAGGAAAGAGCTGTGGAAACCTCATATAAAGAAGCTTCATTTGCCCAGCACTCGGGAGGCAGAGGCAAGAAAACTTAAGTTTGATATCAATCTGGGCTATATAGACTCTGTCTTTAAAAGAATAGAAAAAAATAACAATCCAGGCATGGTGGCGCACACCTTTAATCCCAGCACTCAGGAGGCCGAGGCAGGCAGATCTCTGTGAGTTCAGAGTCCAGCCTGGTCTACAGAGTGAATTCTGGGACAGCCAGGGCTATGTAAAGAGACCCTGTCTCAGAAAAGAAAAGAAAAGAAAAGAAAAGAAAAGAAAAGAAAAGGAGGACCATCTCTCTACGTTGCAGAAAAGAAAGGAGGACCATCTCTCTACGTTGGCATTCTACCCAGCTGATGAAATTCCAGGAGCTTTTAATGAATTAAAAGCAGCATTAGCCTGAAGAAGTCAGCCAAATGTCTAACTGGTTGGAAAATAATTATGTGCACAGTAGGACAAGAAGCCGCTTAAGCGATGCTGTTGCTGTTCAATCACCAGCTTTGTTTCTGCCAGATCTGTGGTCTGTATATGATAGAATGTGGAATGGATGCCATATGCCCAAAACAACCCAGAAACAGGCCCAGGAGTAGGGAATGCTCCCATCAGTGTGTGTAAAAATCATAGACGAATTTTCCAAAGAGGCATGCCACATGGAAAATGGATGGGAATGGATTATCCAGGAGGTTTGTGCATCACCACAACACAGGTTTATATGGTTAATGATCCTGGAGGCGAGCCAGCTTTTGTGGACTACTTTCCTGAAATTGTCTTTGATGTATGTTTAATCATCTTATTCTGTGGGGAGCTTGGGGAAGTCAGAGGACTTGGGGCTCCAGTCTCTCCTTTTACCCTGTGGGTCCTGGAAATCAAACTCAGGTTGTCAGTTTTGGCAGCAAGTGCCTTTCCTTCCTGAACGATCACCAGTCCCTTGATCTAGTCTCTCTTTTTGTCTTTGCTTTGCTTTGTTTTAGATTTGTTTTTATGTGTGTGGATGTTTCACCTGCATGTATGTCTGTGTACTATGTGCATGCCATTGTCCATGGATGTTAGAAGTGGGCATTGCATCCCCTGGAACTGGAATTACATACAGATGGTTATTAGCCACAATGCTAGGATCAAACTTAGCTCCTCTGGAAGAGCAATCAGCACTGTAAACCACTGAGCCTTTGCTTCAGTCCTTTGATATTATTTATTTATCTATTTATCTATCTATTTATTTATTTATTTATTTATTGGAGATAGAGTCTCACTGTATAGCTCTGGCTGTCCTGGAATTTACTTTATAGACCAGGCTGGCCTCGAACTTGCAGAGAACCACCTGCTTCTGTCTCCCAAGTGCTGGGATTAAAGGCACGAGGCACTATAAAACAGGCTTGATCTATTCTTGAAATATACTTTTTTGTCCATCCAATTTTAGTAATCCCCCCATTGTTGGATATAGAATCTAGGACCTTATACATATTAGATAATCCCTCCACCAACTGAGTTACCTCCCCAAGTTCTCACTTGAATTTTTTTCTCCCTAGTATTTTATTGTTGTTTTTGTTTGTTTACGGGTCAAGTGTTCGAAGCCACCCTTGACTATTAATACACAGCAAGTTCAAAGCCAGCCTTGTGTATTTGATGAGACCCTTGCCTTTTAAATCAGAGAGAAGAAAAAGAAATCGAATAATTTTCCAGAATAATGACATTGTTAAGGTGTTACTCTTTCCGGGTTTTAGAATTTAGAGCTATTTTATCACTTAGGATTATGGCCTTTGGGACTGCGTATTTGGGGACCATAGTCTACATTCACCACCATCATGATCATAGTAGTAACAAGAACAACTTAGTTTGATAGGCTTTTCCTAAGACATCTTTGTGTCTTTCATCTTACAGATCAGAGAGGATGTGACCCACTCATCATCATCCCTCGCTTGGTCCCTTTGCTGGCTCCTCCAGCTCACCCGCAGCTGTCCCGCTGGGAGTTCTGTTTTCAAGAGCGAGCCTAGCAAACATTCCGCTCTGTGTGCAGCAGGATCCTCTGGGGCAGGAAGCCTTGCATAGTGCTGGAATTTCTAACCCTTAAGATGCTCCTATGTGTGTAGACTGGGGAGGGAGAAGAGGAGAAAAAAGAAGACAACGGCGGTGGTGTGGTTTGGGTCTAGAGAACGGGTTATCTGGGACTTCGTTTCATTTGGGTCACTTGAGGCTCAACCGACGCCCAGGAGAGAGGCCAACGCGTCATCGCTTATCCGTTACCTTTTCTCCACAGCCTTCCTCCGCCACCAGGGCAGGAGCCTGCTCCTGGTTACCGTGGCAACCGCGAGGAGCCCTAGCCAGTTCCGCTACTGCACTGACTTCTGCAGCCTTAGCTGAGATGCAGCGGTGAGGACCGACAGACGGTGGCAGACCCAGGTTCTTCATTCCTTCCTCGCTGCTCTGGACCCCGAGAGAAAGAGGGAAGGCACACGGATGAAAGAAGTGTGCCCCGGGGCCTCCGGATGAGACCCTTTGCTGGGATTTTAGCTGGAAGGTGGAGTCGCCACACATAGGATGCACGCAGCCACAACAGCAGCACCTGTGTCCTGAGGACCAGCCAGCCTGGGGAGACAGGCTCTCACGGAGAGGCAGATGCGGAGTGAAGCCCCAGTCCGTAAGTACCATCAAATCTCCTCCTGGGTGAGCAAATCCCTTAAAGGAAAAGGTTTTGTGTCTTGACGCCTTAAAAAAAAAAAAAATCACATCTTTCGATTCGTTATGCTTTTCCTTGCCTTTCTGACATATACGAGATTTTTTGGAACAAATCTGTCTGCTTTTAAACGTCTTGTTCTCTTAACCAGTGGGAGCTGTGACACTCTAGTATCTGTGTCTCCTTTACTGCACAACGCCCCACTGGCTGATACCATGCACCATAAGCACACGCCCCAAAGACCGAGAAACATCGCACTCAGTTTCTCAGCCAACACAGCCCATCTTCCTTATGTTCTTACCCCCCTCAAAGAAATAACATCCTTAGGCAAGCTGGCGGTATGTCAGATGTCAGAGGACTGCCTGGGATCCCCACGACACCGTGTCCTTTCTACGAGCTCAAAGTGAATCCATTAGCTCATCCACAGGCGACAATAGTTACACTCAGAGGGACATTTACTTCCGTCCAGTAGAGGGCGCCGGCGCTCGCCTGCACAGCTCGGTAAACAGGCCAGAGGTGCCATCCGCACACGGGTAGGCATGCACGTGCCCGGCTGCGGAGGACCCAGCGCGAGTCAGCCTCTGTCGATCGTTAACAAAGGGATGGTTATACTGGTCCCCTAGGGAGTCAAGGGAAGGGCAAAAAGAGTTCCGGAGCACGGCGTTCGTTTCAGAAGCAAATGAGCGTATTTCCAGGGCAAAGTACTTTGTGTGTCTCCATCAGTGTCTTTCCCTTCCCCGTCAACCCCTCCTCCTCCCCGAGCCCCCAATCTTTGCTTACAGCCCTGGTGATGAAGTGTTTACCCATTTACCGTGCTGAGAAGACAAGAGAAAAAAAGGGGGGCGGGGGGGACCTAGTTGGAATGAACGATAAACCGACGGTTGCACTTGCTGGCCCCTGCAGTTGTCAGCTCTAGCTGCATGCTGGAACACCTGGGTTTCCTGCCCCGGACATTCTGATTTAGCTCCCAGGTGATTCTAAAGCGCTGAGGTTGCCGCCGCCGTTCTAATCAGGATGACGTATTTCCAGGTGAACTCGGTACTGGCTTAGCCTCTCAAATGCGCTGCTGCTGGAGGACGGGGGTGTATTGTTATTGTCATGTGTGACTAGCCACTGTGTGGAAGAGAGCTGGCAGCACCTTTGGCGACCTGGAGCAGCTGAAGGTGAAAGAGATGTCTCAAAGGAGGGAGGGCGCGCCTCTCTCAGAATGGGCTCCTTCTCGGAAGAAAACGCTCTGACCTATTTTCCAGACCAAGGAGAAAGGAAACGTGGGCCTCTGAGGGACCGTAGAGGGAAAACTGCCAGGGTCTAAGAAACGGACTCCAAGTCTGTATGGTTATCAGAGTCACACCTGTAACTGCCCCCCTCTCCAACTGCAAGGAGAACGGCTGTGGGAAAGAGTAGGGGGTGAGGCGTGGTGATTTATGCCTGTAGCTCCGGGACTTGGGCAGTGGAAGCAAGAGGATCATGGGTTGAAGGCCATCTCTACTGCATAGCAAGCTTGAGGCCAGCCTGGGCTACATTAGACTTCCAAGAAAGAAGAGAGATTGAAAGAGAGAGAAGTCAGAAATACGGTAGCCGTTTGAACAAAGGAAAAAAGCAAATAAAATGACCTAGAAATTATAGTCCTAATCCTTTTCAAGACTGAACTGATTACAGCTTTAAAGCTCCTCTACACCTAAGGGAAATCTTACAAATGCCCTTTCCCTGAGAACTGGAACACCAGGATAACATCCTCTCCACAACCACTCTTGCAGACCAGGAAGCAAAAGCTTTTTCTAAACTTTGCATTCTAAAGCTATCTCATGAATATTCATAAGTCATAAATGCTGGGAAGCAGGTGGGAGGCAGAAGCTACACAGCTACTTCTCTACAGCCTGCAGTGCTCACTCCATTAGGTAAGACCTCAGACTCCAGGCCTGAAGGGAAAAACCTGTAAACAGCCTACAAAGCCTAGAAGCCCAGCACTTGAGAGTTAGTAGTAGGAAGGTCACTGCATGTTGGGTTCTAGGACAGCCTAGGCTACCTAAGATTCTCAGAAGCCAAAAAACAAAACAAACAAACTACAAAGTGTGACCTAGTGCTAGTATTTTCCCCATCACAGCTTTCTAAGGCTCTCCCATTAATTTTGATTAAATCGAGAAAGGGCTAAAGTCTTCGTGGGGGGATGGGTGCAAATGACAGTCCTGCCTATTAGACTGAAAGCCTGGCCTCTGTCATTCACTTCATAGATTGGAAGAAGAATTAAGTGACCACATAAAGAGCACCCACCCACCCGACTTCGATCACAAGGCCTCCTGTGCCAGGCTGAGAGAGGGGCCCAGGAGGACACCCACACGGAATGGCCACAGCTCTCCCACGCATTGTACCTGAGTACTTTGTCTCCACATTGCCAGCTAGGACTGGACAAACCTCTCCTTGTGCTTATTTACCAAGCAACCCCAAACAGTTACAACCATCTCCATCCTTCCCTTTACTTATTGTTCTAGTCTCTTTAGACTCTCTCTCTCAGACACACACCCCCCTCTCTCTCTTTTACACACACACACCCCTCTCTCTTTCACACCCACACCTCTTTTACACACACACCTCTCTCTCACACACACATCTCTCTCTCTCTCTCTCTCAGGATTATGTTGCCTCCTGGTGGAGTTGCCCTGTTCTCTAAAGACTGCCTCTACTTATCCTGGGCCTCCTCCAGGGTTTCCCCAGCGCTTGCCCAGCACAGGGAGCTGTGGGCATCCTTTGCCTAGGCAGTTCTTAGCTTTCTTCACTGACCTGTGCTCTTTTGTTGTTGTTGTTGTTGTTTTTGTTTTTGTTTTTTTGAGACAGTGTTTCTCTGTGGCTTTTGGAGGCTGTCCTGGAACTAGCTCTTGTAGACCAGGCTGGTCTCAAACTCACAGAGATCCGCCTGCCTCTGCCTCCCAAGTGCTGGGATTAAAGGCGTGCGCCACCAACGCCCGGCTGACCTGTGCTCTTTGGACGAGTTCTGTCAGACAGGTGGCTCAGGGTGGCTTCTGCTATCCAGCCCCAAGCCCCCTTTCTGACTGGTCACCACAGAGCTGACCCACCTCACAAGGCAGGATGCCAACATTACAAAGACTGCCCATCCACTAGGCGGCTAACCAAGAACAGTACATCTGGGTCTCATCTCACACCATCCCTTCCCACCACAACCACCAAGAGCTACTCCCTGAAAATGACAGAGTCCTCCACAGCCCAGGAGGAAGTGTCCAGGAACCCAGCTCACCCTCAGAAAGAGCTGCCTAAACTCAGAGGGGGAGGCCCTAGGAGCCTCCGGTGCTTTATTAAAGCCCAAACTGATACTTTAGCAAACTGGATTGTGACTCATCAGTGGGCCAGGAAATCAATTTTGTGGGTCATAACCAGCATTTTAAAAAAAGAAAAATTATCCAAATGTGCCACACAGATGGAGAGGAGGTTTTGTAGGCTGAAATGTGTGTATTGGTTTTGTATATGTCTGTTGTACACTGAGTCATGAAGCTTTTGTTTTATTTATTCTTGGAGTTAGGGATCAAATCCAGAGCCCTGCCCATGCTAAGCCACACCCCCAGGCAGCAAGATTCAATTCTTTGCATGGATCACAGTCAAACAATCGTTATGCTCATTCCCTGCAGTGAACATTGAAGGAAGTTAGGACTGAATCACAATGAAATAGTCAAATTCCAGAAGAGCTGACAAAAAAAAATAGAATTAAATATATTTTCAGAGTGTTTTAGTGCTAGGAATTGAACCCAGGACCTCGAGAATGCGAAGCAAGCGTTTTACCACTGACACAGGCTGACTCAGGCCTTCTGAAAGCCCAGTTCTGAGAGGCCTTTGTCCTGCGTATGCTGATGTGAGCATTGGGCTATAAGCTCCACATGCTCTTCTGTGCACTGGTCTTTTGATCGTGAACCAACCCTTTTTTTTTTTTTTTTTTTTTTTTTTTTTTTTTGGTTTTTCGAGACAGGGTTTCTCTGTGGCTTTGGAGGCTGTCCTGGAATTAGCTCTTGTAGACCAGGCTGGTCTCGAACTCACAGAAATCCACCTGCCTCTGCCTCCCGAGTGCTGGGATTAAAGGCATGCGCCACCACCGCCCGGCAAACCAACCCTTTTATCTTGTTATTTATTGTGGAAGAGCTGAGAATTGAACCAGGACTTTGAATGTGCTATAACTATGGGTTCTACACTGAGCAACTCCTACACTGGAACAGACTTTTCACAAGGCAGAAAGGAAAACCAAAACATTTCACTCTATTTTTACATTTTCATGACATGTGCTTTATTTAGGGAGGGATGCATGTGGTTGGTCCATAGTACTTGTTCGGAAGTCAACTTTTAGGAATCAGTTCTCTCCTTCCACCATGTGGGTCTTGAGGATTGAAATTAGGTTGTCAGGCTTGGCAGCAAGCACCTTTACTCTCTGAGCCATCTTGCTGGATGGATATATATATATATATATATATATATATATATATATATGTGTGTGTGTGTATATATATATATATACTCACTGTATGTTCTGTTTAAATGACATCACACTAAATGGCTACATTTTAGTGAAAGAAAACATTAGCAATTTCCTAGGGTTAAGGCATCAGAGGATTTAATGATAAAAAGGCATAAGGAGACTTTGTAAGACATTAGAATTGGTCTTTGGTTGGTTGGTTGGTTTTTTTAGACGAGATTTTTCTACATAGCCCTGGCTGTCCTGGAACTCTTTATGCTGACCAGGCTAGCCTCAAACTCACAGAGCTCTTCCTGCTTTTGCTTTCAGAGTGCTGAGACTAAAGGTGTGCACCACTACACCCTGCTGATTAACAGGAAGTTAAAGTAGGAGTGAGTATCGCCACAAGGTTGAGGCCAGCCGAGGTTACAGACTGAGACCCTATCTAAAAAACAAAAAGATAATATCAAAACAAAATTAAAAAAAAATCTTAACACATAATGTTATGCACAAATGCAGGTAAAACTCTGTCATCTATTCTGCGTTGCTTTCTGTGCTGGTCCAGTTTGGAGGGAATGCAACATGATAATACATAGGGAAAGCCTGTGATACATCCAGAGACAATATTTCAAAAAAAAAAAAAAATGAAGCCAAAGTGGAAACTGGGTGATTGGTGGCTCATTTGTGGAACTCCAGTCCTTGGGAAGCTGAAGTAGGAGAATTGCTCTGAGTTCAAGACAGTGTGAGCTACATAGTGAGTTCAAGGCCAGCCAGCCTGTACTACAGAGGGGGGGGGGAGGCAACAAAGGGAAGAGAGATAACAAGTCTGGGAGTGAAGCTCAGTGGTTAGAACATTTGCCTAATAAGCCCTGAGGACCTAGGTTCTATAAGAAACTTGTGTGTGTGTGTGTGTGTGTGTGTGTGTGTGTGTGTGTGTGTGTAGAGCATTTTAAGTAACTCACACCTCAGAGTTAAGGCGATGAGCAGAGCTCTGGGAGAGCCTCTCTCATAAATCCTAGCATGGATGGTACTGTAATCAAGTGGGAAAGGCAGGAGGAGGGAGAAGATGGGATGGGAGTAAGAGCTACCTGG